AGAGAAATCTTGTAGGACATATAAACACGACAGTCGTTTTGCACAAGTCATGTGTTTGGCAGAAGAAATCCGTGTATTTCTCCCCAAACATGGGCGAGCGCTCATCAAAGTTTTGACAAAAGACAAGTTCAAAGATAAAGCGAGTATTCCCCATTTCCGATTTGAATGCCAGAAAAAAACCAAATAGTTTTTACGAATTCTGCAATACGCATTCGTTTGTCTCTTATGCTTTCGTCGGGTCGGAAAAGATCAATCTACACACAGACAGACCCAAGTAAAACCACACCGGTAGGTGATTCCTCAAGCCGTCGTTAGGCGGAGGGAAACCGGAGGGATATGAGGGGCGTGATAAGATTTCCGAGACCACGACAGCATTTTGTCCCAAATTTCACCATTTTCGCCAACCACCCTTGAACTTGATTGTCCCGTCGATTCCACCCTCATGCCGGTGGCCCAGACGTTCCTAGAGTCGTATCGAATGCATATGGGAAGAGAAAGGCGCTTAGGAGGTAGGGTTGGGGTTCATCTACAAAGCAGGCGGAGTTAGTCATCTGAGGCCATCGAAAGATAGAGGGGGGGATTCGTTATCGAAATCGTACCTTGCGCTTGCCTCCGGTGAGGGTGACGTTGACGAAACGGCGGGTGTATGTGAGTCTCTTCTTCGCGCGGCCCTTGGGGGTCTTCTTCTTCTCCTGGGGCTCAACCTTGGGGCTGTTGCAGTGGTCAGCGATCACGATTCGTCATTTCATCATCATCATCATCATCAAAAATAACACAGTCCGTCGCCCGGTCGGTTGTCGTTTCGATGGAAAGTGAATTTCCCCGTCGTAGGTCATCGAATGAATAGTGTTGTTGTCCTTTCCCTTTCCCGACCGGCGTTCCCCCTCATCGTCGTCCGTGGTGACCAAAGTTTTCGTCGGTTTGCCACCCTCAATTCCCAGATGCACGGGGGGTATTTTCTGTTCTCGTGGATAAGAAAAAAGACTTACGTCTGAGACTTGACCTTTCCGGCACGCGCCAACGATCCGTGAACCTTTCCCATTGTGGCGGTTTGAGTTGCTGCTGTGGTGTTTCGGTGAGTTGGTTGTCGATGGAATCGAGGAGCGGGCTTGTCGTCTTCTGCGCGGGCAATGGGCGTCGGATTGCGTGGGAGGGTTGCGGGCCTGGACAATTTTGGGGGTTCGGTTCGTAATTCTGTGCGTCACGTGTAGTGAGTGGAGAAGGAACAGGGCGGGCGAGGGGGCTTGCCATTTTTTTTGTACTCAGCCAGTCACCTTCCTTTATTTGCCTCCGCCCCAATCCGGAAGAGGTGGTCCGCCAAAAAGAAATTCGGCCTTAGGGGTTAACATCACAACAACATGAGCCACGCTCAGCACTTGGTGGTCAGAGCTTTTGTGGTGGCGCTGGCGAGATGAATCATCGGCAAATAAACTACCTTAGCTGGACAACATTCGTCGTAGGTAACACTGGTGGACACCGGTAGCTAGGAGACATGGTTGACTACGGTGACTCAGTCTGCCAGTAGTGTTTCCGCCATGCCATGACTGATAGAAGGATCTATTGAACTACCCTAAACAACCAATGTTTGATGATGTTTGCTTTCCCCTTACGCCAACTTTTCCGTTATCCATCTTCGTAGCCGTCCAACTTTCGTACTCTACAGGGTATCTAGACATGTTCTCGTGTGTATACATCGATCTTTTTAAGTTGCTCAAGCATTGTTGAGTCCCGAAGAACCCCACATCTGTTCCTCGCTCTTGGGGTCGGCGCAGTATCCATTGCAGGCCAAGCACTTATCCAACTTCTTGGACAGCATATCCTCCAACGACGCCGGGTGAATGATCAGATCCTTCGTCTTCAGGTTCTCATCTAAGAATACGTAGGGGCCTCGGTAGTCGCTCTGGCGAATCTCGGGAAGGAAGGTAATGTTGTGAGGAGTGTTCTTCTTAGCAACCTCAGCCCACGCAGCCTTCACATCAGCTCCAATATGAAAGTCCCAGGTGCTCTCCCACGATGCCGTTGTCGACAAAATCTCGACGGAGTAGCGGAAGACGGCACCTCCAAATTGGTCAGTCTTGTAGATCTCCAGTACCTGGAGTGCTGGCATGTGCTTCGCGGCACTGGCGATCGAACGAAGGATGCCATTAACGGTCTCGTGGTCGATACCGTCAATCATTGTATGGGAGGTAAGCGCAAGTCGGCGGAGGTTGTTCCAGACGGGCTTGCGTGAGAGGAGGCCTTGAAAGAAGGCAGTCGCGTCAGAGACGTTCGAGACGGCCATCTCCTCAGCTTGCAAGCTGAGGAAGCCCAGGTTGTGACCAAGGCTGGGGCATGAGGTTCGGGCAACGTCGCCTGCTTCTTCCGCACCGTCGGGGACAACGGGAAGAGCGATGTCCCCGCCAGTTGGGTCCGCGTCGTTGTCGTCGACAGACTCAGCATCCTCCCATTCGGCTTCCGGGCCATCATTGAAAGCATCGAAATGCTCAAAGATGCTGATCCGCTTAATATGGGAAGGCCAGAAAGGGAAAGTACGGGCATAATCTGGGAAAGTCAGTCAGTATTGGGCCTGTGGACGGTGAGACAAAAGGGACATACCAGAGTCGACTTCGAGCTGTGCTTCTAAGTCAACTTGATGCCAGGGCTCGAATCGGACTTCCTCGAGCTTAGGCAGACTCGAGATAATGCTGAGCAAGGCTCGAGATGAGATGTTGCGATGGTTGCGGCGAAGAATCTGGCAGCTGTTGATGACCGAGACCTCGGGGAGACCGTGTCGCCCGACCTGCTCACAGCCGGCAGTGATGAAGCAGAAATCTAGGTCGTGGTCGAAGAAGCGTGAGTTGCCGTCCTGATCCAAGCCCAGCTCACCAAACAGCTTATTCTTATCGCTGGGTGAAGCGGCGCTGAGCTCCAACTCGACACTCTGGCCCGAAGATGTCCATTTACTGAGGATGTCAAAAAGGTTCCAGATTCCCTGAGTGAACTTAATCTCATTTTCATTCTGCTCACTGTCTGTCTCGGGGACCTTGGCCAGCTTGCTGTTATAGCGAGGCAGCTCAATGCGAAGTGAAATACGGCGCAGGTAAGAGCGACGGATGGGGTCCTGAAGAATCTCGTCGAAGCGGGAGAGATCCTTGGCGGAGTTGATCTCGAGATTGTTGAAGTTAATCTTTTCTATGAACCTCTGCCATTGTTGACAGACGACGGCATAGCTGCCCATGTCATGACGCTTGCTCTTTGACTTTGGTGGTTTTGAGCGTCTTTCGGCGACGGCTCCGTAGGCGAGGTGCTCGAGAATGAGGCCCTTGAGCTCGACAGGCAAACCATTCCAAGTTGCCATGTTGGTCTCCTCTTCCATGGCAATCAATTGGGAGTCCTAGTGCGAAGTCGGCGTTAGATAGGTACTGTAAGCACGTTGGTGTTGAAGGCCCTAGTTGATCGGTCTCACCTGCGGACGCCCAAGTCCCTCAATGCTAAGGAAGTTGAGAGTGAATTTTCAGCGGGGCAAGAATGGAGACTGGGCTCACCTTGTACCCTTGTTCAAGTCGACACTGGATGATTGAGTGAGTGAGGGGCAAATGAAATGCCTCGTCTTGAGTGAAAGGCCCTAAGCATGCACTGAAGTTGTGTGCAGAAAGGCGCGCCTTTTTTTTCCTCGTCTAGACTTGTCTGCCCAAGGGCTTGGGTCTTTCTCTGTTTTGGTGTTGTAGGTAATTGTTGTCCTGGGGTCTTTGTGAGGTGAGCGACGCCTTTCCTTTGGAGACTTGACTTGAGGTGTGAACGGACAAGTTGCGCGCACCAATCAGGACTTGGCAATGAGAAGACCCTTTTCGGCCAGCCGGTACTTCCTTCCTGGAAAATTCCCAGCACAAGTGGGCGCCTTCTGCCATCTAATCGTGTACCGTCAGTGTACCGTCAGTGCCTTCTTCACTCAAAACCCCTCTGGCCCTCCGCTCCTTCCCCCCGCCTTAGAAAAGCAGTACAGTGTGTGTATGGACGCATAAATAACACAGGACTGCTTTATGCACTGTCTTCCCCCTCCTCCCGATAAGCTGATAGCCAGATGCTGAGCCGAACACAGCCCAGGACGCTGGCAGCTACCTTACCTTAGCTGTTCATCCCGTTACTCAACCCTCTAGACGGAATTACAGATATATAAATAAGGTATACCAACAACATTTGTTCATCCAGACGCCGGAGATGATCATGCAACCCAAATACCTGCAGGCAGACAGACAACCTCTCGTCAACCCACAATTTCGGGAAAGGACCTAGAAATTTCACCTTGCGTATCCGTACTCCGTACAGCCGCCAGCAGCCCTGCCCCATGCTCGCATGGCTTGGAGTGGATAAAGTCAGGCTTGGTCGTTGTCGCGCTAAACGCCGTTTGGCTTATCAGATCTAACCCCGGGCCACTTTCCAAGCGTCTCATCCCAGACATCACATGCGCCCATCTCCTCTCTTGCGGAGTTGCCCAGCTAAACCCAACTCGAGGTAACCTAACCTTCTGACTGACCCCAGCCCACCACCGTTGCAGACCGATCTCCCGTCCTCGCCCGTTACGAAACCCGACTCGCTCTTCTGACTGTTACCGACGTTGTTGGTACTCGTGTTTGCTCAGGCGGATCCATCCAGTCCTCTTTGTTCTTCATTCCATCCCCCAACGCCGAAGAATCCTCCCCAAAGAAGACATCGTCCCCGCCGTACTCGCACTCAATAGTTCCCTCCCAAATATCTTGGCCCAACGTCCTAACCCTTCCGAGACCGCCTCACACCACGAACAGCTCGTACGATCCGATCCATCCCACCCTATCCGACCGACCGACCGAGCGATCACACACACACATACATACACACACGCGCACCTCAAGTGAGGACTTTGCTACAAAACCTCGCATACGCCCGTTCCCGACAGATCCTCCTCCTTCTACACCCTCTCTTCCACCTACTGCCAAATAAGTCCCATACCTCCTTTTCTCGGCCTCGTCCAGCCTGAGAACAAGATGAAGACATCCGCCATCCTCGCCGGCCTAGCCGCCTCCGCTGCCACGGCTGTCCTCGAGCCAGGCATGCCGCAGCACCTCCTCTCCAACCCCGAGGGCGGTGCCGATGCAAACCGCATTCCGACCTCGTATGAGTCCGCAGTCATGGGCCGCCGCATTCTCGCCGTGACCAAGTTGGCCGAGCTCGCAACCGTCTTCCCAACGGGCGCCCACTCCGCCTCGGGCGGTGACCTCTCTGGCATGCCCATCGGTCTCATGGACTACGTCGCCGACTGCGAGGACGAGGGCAACCCCACCATCCTGGCCATCACCATCGCCACGTCCTTCAAGAACGTCCGCGCCGGCTCCAACATCTCCCTCTCCATGCACTGGGTTCCGCCCTTCCCGCCCGCGAAGCGCATTTCCCTCTTCTCCTCACTCAAGAACAGAATCTTTGGCTCCTCCTCCTCCTCCGACGCCGCCACCGCCCTCCCCGACACGGTCCCCTACTCCGCCGCCAACCTCCCCCGCTTCTCTCTCCTCGGCTACCTCGAGAAGATCCCCGCCGACCCCGTCTCCTCCCTCAAACTCGCCCACTGCTTCGTCAACAAGCACCCGGACTCCAAGTACTGGCTTCCCGGCAGCCCCGTCCACGAATCAGAGTGGGTTCGCTTCGTCGTCACATCTGTCTACTGGATCGGCGGCTTCGGTGATCGCGCCTACATTGGCTGGATTCCCCTCGAGGAGTGGCAAAAGGTCACCAAGGAGGAGTACGAGTCCATCGAGCTCCCTGGTGAGAAGCGCGGCTGGAAGGAGTGGAGCGTCAACAGCTGGTTCGACGGCAAGGACCTTTGAATGCGTGTTGAGTAGGATGACGCCTGCAGTGGTCAGGTAATTGATGATGATTAGCGTACGGGAGGGATCCAATCTTTTTTCTTTTGGTATGATACCATTTACAAGGCCAGACCCCAAAGGCCTCAAAGGGGCTTGCTAGTTTGCCATGCATTTGCGGGTCGGTTACTTGTTGAGTATTTACATGCCAGTTTTGCCCAAATCGGCAATGTCATTTAGACGGGAATTTGGTTCTTGAAGTACTTGTGGTAGCTACGCGAGATACACACACTGCTGAAGCTAAATCATCATGCATGCGCTATATGTGTGCACTTGAAGGACTGCGAACTTTGGGAATCAAGCTACACAATAGCAAACGTGCTGAGGAGGGAAGTTTCATCATTACAGCGTATTATATCAGGGTTTGGGGGTATCTAGCACTACAGCTCTCAGATGTAACAATGCAGGCACCCTAGGTAGTCCATCTCTTTCTCTTTTCCCCCTTTTCAGTCGTTCCCGCGAACAAATCAAACGCTATGCATGCCTCTCGTGTGTGCACGTGTGCGTGTGTACCCCTGGTATCCCTTGTCAAAAATAACCCCGACGCCAGAAATGATGACTTGATCTCCGTCGATCGTTCTCAACTATGTACACACAAGAAAGGTAAACAAAAACGATTCAAGACAAAATAGATAGGAAGAGAAAGCGTCTAGTCAACGCGGATGATGACCTTCCAAGCCAGAGCGCCAGCCTCTCTGATGGCGCATGCCAGGCAACCCCGCCGGCGCCTCGAGATGATGGCATTCCAGCCCTTCTCTGCGCAGAACGCTCTCACCAGGACTTCCATGTCGCTTCCAAACTGGCGACGCCGGGACTCAAGGTGCATGTTGGTCGTCGCAAGGCTGGCACCGTTGGCGGTACGTTCGAGAATGGGAGACGTGGGGGTCTCCTGCGTCGGGGCTTGACGCCTGAAGCCCGTGATGCAGTCAATGACCAGAACGCGAGGTGTGGTGTTCATGGTGGGAGTGAGAGATGGACGCCGGACGGATGACGTGTTGAGGAGTAAACTGTCTAGGGAGGCGTCCGGCTTCTCGAGAAGCTCTGAAAGATGGATAACAGTATATGTGAAGAATTTGTGCAGGGGATGTCCTAGATGATGGTTAGTTTGCGCGGTTGTCTCAGGAGGAGTTGGTTCTTCTTACCCGTGATGGTGGCCGGCTTAGAGCTCACACCGCCGATGCCGCTACCGTCCACGTCGATCTGCTGGATGGTGGGGCTTGAAGGGGACCTCAAGACCTTGACGTGGGAAGATGGGTGGCAAGGGTGAGCCGTGACAAAATGGATGTCCTTCGTCAGGGAAAATTGGTGCTCCTTTGCTTCGCCGCCGTTGGGGCCAACAGAAAAGGAGATGGAGGCCGGATATGTGTAGAGTTCGTGAGCTCGGGTCACGTCCGAGAAGGGTGTCATCACCGTCTCTTCAGTCGGGGTGGTGCGAGCCGAGTCCACGGGCGCGGACAAATTGAGCGACGTCAAGGAAATGCTCAAGCTGGGAGGCGGCTCCGCATAGTTATTCTCATAAGGGATGATGAAATCCGCGGGTAGCACCGAGCTGGGATCCGCATCACCCAGAACACAGGACTCGCGCTCGACGTGAGTCTTACCCCACAATCGGGCTTGCTTGCCTGTCTTTTTCATGTCATCTGCCAATGATGTTTAGTCTATGTCAATGGAGAGCTGGTCAGAAGGGCACTTACCACAGACTTCGGCAACATCGATATTCACCCAGCCGTCACCATGTCCTTGGGGAGTGATATCGCTCGAGATCCATCCCATGCATTGAGCAGAGCCAGCACCAGCAGCCAGAACGCGGCCAATAATGCAAGCAGTGCTCCAAAAACTCTTTCCACGATACACGAAACCACCGCATAGGTTCGCCATCGGGCCCAATTTGGACATTGCCTCCTTGTCGTTCTCCAAGAGAGTGGTCATGATCAAGTGGTACAGTCCTTCGCCCGGAAGCATGAGGCCGGACACATAAGATTTGGATAGCCATCCCGATGGATGCAAAGCTGCCGAGATCTTGTGTTTTCCGGACGGATGTCGAGTAACGCTCGCTTCTGTCCGACCGCCACCGAAATAAGATGATCTCTTTGTATCGATACTCATTGGTGTCTCTGCTGGCGTGTGAATCGGCGTTGCTTCTGATACCTTGTTGACTGTCTCAGAAATCTGCTCGGCGTATGTGTCTGATTCGATATCGGGCCAGCGAAGCTTTCTTGCAAAATTTGTCAAGCCATTGACTTGTCTCTCGCTGTACCGTCCCTGAATGGTGTACACGGAGACGTCGCCGTGTGAATGAGCATGGCTATTTGGGTGGAGGCTCATCTTCCCGGTCAAAGATGCCAGCCATCCGCCAGAATTGCGCTTTTGAGTATTCGCCGGATCGACCTTTCGCTCAATGATTTCAATGTTCTCCAGCCAAGCGCGTGCCAAGTGCAATGACCACTTGACTGTTGAGTTTGCATCTTTTTCGAAGCGCTTAATCTCGGTGGGTCTGATGCTCTCGATACCGAGCTCTTCGCCCTCTGTAATGGCATCTAGCCTAATGAGCAGCTCACATGCCAGGAGAATCTGGAGCAGCAGCCAGTATCTCTCCTCTTTGCGCTCATCGTTGCTGTCGGCGTCGTCGATCTCGACGTCTGTTTCGAGCTCATCGCCCTCAAAAGAACCCCAGAGTATCTGACCCAGTCTGATTCTCCATTCCACGTGGGAGAAGTCGATCCAGACGTTGGGTGCAGCAAGGACCTTGACAAGCGCCGAGATCTGTACAGAGAGGCTGTAGGGGTCGTGGTGGTCAATGACACGGGTCGGAGGATGCAGGATGCCCAAGAATAGCTCGTTGTACAGGGTGTTGTGGATCTTTCTGTGGACCTTGTTCTCCTTGTACCTGGCGCCATTCTTAATGAGCTGATCCAAAATGGACGATTCCTCCAAGCGGCGGAGTCCGTCTTTGGAAGCCAACATTCTCTGGCGCTGCTCGACAATCGCTTTGGCCTTGGATCCAATGCTGTCGAAGCCAAACTGCTCTTCCTGAAGCGCATCGCCAACGGGCATCTCTAGAGCCGCCTGGTATCCCATTGTGCCCTTCTCCAAACCTTGCATACTGAGCATATTAGGCCGTTCTCGGCATCGTGGGTAGAAGTGGGCTCGCTTCCTTTCCTTGGCGCATCGTATAGCAGCAGGATTGGAATTCATGTCCCTTGTGATGTGAGGCCAGGCTGTAATGCAGCTCCAGGCGGCGTCCTCGATCTGGACATGGTCGGTCAGGTCGCGGATCTCGAGCGACTCGTCCCAGGGAAAGGCGACAGATGGGTGGGGAGCGCCGGTGTAATGGCCCTCGGAGCGAGCAAAGTACTGAGGAGCTCCAGAGAAGAGCTTCTCAACGTCGTCGTCGCTGAGAGTTGCCATGATTTTCGTCAGTTTCAGAACTGGTTTGGCGGAAGGGCCATTGGCTTTCTGGTCGGCGCTGTCGAAGGCGAAGGGAGGCGGGGAAGGCAGTGGCTTATTGGGGTTGAGAGGGGGCGGCGATCGAGAGGAACGGGACTCGGCACTGCTTTGCGGAGGGGAAACCTGGGGTTTGCTGGTGAGACACAACGGCTTTTACGACGGTTGAACAAAGAGACGCGGCCCAATTGGGGTAATTAGAAGAGCCAGTGTTGTTGAGACTGGAAAGGGCAAGGTGATTGGGTTGGTATGATGGTCTGCTTTCACTGCGTGTAAACGGAAGATGATGTCTTTGTCTTCAACTGTTGGAAAGGCGTGGCTGATGATGACAGCAATAGACTGTAAGAGAAATTGCAGATTTGGAGAAAGAAGGACTGTCGACGAAGAGAAAGACAGAAAGGGGTGTGTTATACAAGTAATATTGACCAAAGTAAAGAGGGGACGGGAATTGGAGTCTCGGAAGCTGATCACGCGGCAGAGAAGGGACGGGTTATGCAAGGGAGCAACGGAGGCATAGATCGTCAGAGTCTGAGCAACGGGGTAGGTACGGAGGCTTGGAAACTTGGGAAGAGAGTCTTAATGAAGGAACACTGGAAAAGCGGATGAACATCTCGGAGGACGTCACTGCAAGCAACTTAAGCTGATGGCCAAGCAAGCAGACTGATGTGCAGTGAGATGATGGATGGGCAAGCAGAGATTGCAAGACAGGGCAGACCAGAAGTGGCCTGATGCAGCTCCCATTTGATGGATTGCATAGGACGATGGCGGGGGAGTGACACGGTGGAGAGGGGGATGAGGTCGTGGTGCAGTTGTGGTGCGTCGTGCTGCAGACTGTGGCGCCGTCCACCTTACGCAGTACCGTCACTGCCACCGTTTCCGAGCCTTACGTAAGGTACCTAGAACAAGGTATCCTCACCCAAGAACTCGAGATGCAGCCGCAGCCCGGTGAGGTGGGGACAGAGAGTGAGCTTGGAACCAGGAAGCTACCGAGTATACACAGTAGAGTACCGAGAAGCTCAGGCATGGGAATGCCACTGCCACTGCCACTTTTGTGTAGATGCTTCTCCTCTTCCACTGTCTGTGTTCACATCCTCCGTCTGCGGCGCACGGAATGTCCAGCCTTGGCCAAGACAAACCCACCGACACCGACGCGGGAACCGGACCTGGTCTGAGAGTGCGGGGGAGACAGCACGGAAGAAGGAGGGTTATGGTGGGTGGTAGTGAAGGAGAGGTGCGTGTGATTTGAATAAAGCATGTAAGCTATGCGCAACCAAGTTTGTATTCAAGCAGCACTGCTGCGTTGCGTGCATCTTCCCGGTACGGCCATGCTACTATTCTGAGGAACTTCCTCATCTTCCAGCTTTCAGCACCGGGGACATCGGGGACGTCGGACTAGGTAGACTCGAAGTACCACATCTCAGGGACCTTGCCTGAGAAGACAAACTGGGGTAGAGGACCACAAAAAAGGTGGAAAATAGAACGACGAAGCCGCGGGTGATCTGACGAGATCGAAGCATGCATCGAAATGTGGGAAGCTAAACCTTTCTGAAGGAGGCGGACCGTTTGGGGTAGAAAGGAATGACAGACAACGACAGATACAGATACGAGAAAGAGACAAACTTACGGGCAACTTTGTCGGTGACTCGGCACCGGCACCCCGCCCAGATTTTGTTGACGAAGCCGGCGTCGATGCGCTGCTGCTAACACTCCGGCCTTTGCTGCGACTCAACAGCCCTCCAAAAAGGTCACGTTTGGAGAACTTGCGCTCCCGCTCCGGCTCGCCCGTTCCGATCCCCAAGCCGCCCGCCGACGCCTCCCTTCCATTCTCCTGTGGTGGCGAAAGCGGTGGTCGAACTTCTTGTTGTTGTCGTTGCTGACGCTTCGAAGGGGATAACGGCCGCTGGTCATGTGCCTTGGATCCTCGTCTGAGAAGTGATAACGACGGCATCTTTGCTGCTGCTGCTGCTGCTACGGATACCAGCCGCGAGTTTTGTTAGTCGTGAGTTGGGATGAAGTTTGCCGCCGTGTTCGTCTCATTCGTCTCGATTTCGTCCCTGTTCCCCAAGGTAAAGTAAATACTCCAGTCTCTTTCTTGTCCTTATTCTCCCAAATTCTTTCCCACTCTCTTTCAACTTGTAATTCTTTTGCTCTTTCGATAAGCTTTCAACCGCGTAATCCTGATCCTCAGAGGTGACTGATCAAAAGTGGCGTCGTTGGGGGAGCTGGTGGTGGTGATAGTGGTGTTGGTGGAGGGGAAGACCCTACGTCTTATCGCCGACGGAATTGAGGTAAGTCCAGGTTTCTGCAAGGTAACCTTTCATGTGTCGCAATGAAAACGCGAGGCGCGGTGTTGAGTCCAAGTTTTGTTGCAGAAAGGTAGGTAGGTGGATGAAGGTCCGAGTAAACGATAGGCAGGCAAGCTTCGACAGGTCGTAGGCAGGTAAGAAAATAAACAGGAAAAAAAGAGACGTAGTAGATAGAGGATGAGGAGGGGGATGGGGGTCAAGTCTTGTAAGGTGAGAATCAGAAGTAAAGAAGTGGGAGACGCACAGTCTTACAGCAAATGAGAGGTAAGGCGGCAGGATGTTAAAACAAGAAATGAATGCGAATCAACAAGAGAGACAGACAGACACACGGCCGATGGTCTGCCAAGGCAGGGGTGGTCTTGGACTTGGAGGGGAGTGACAACAAGAACAACACTTTCTGTATCCATATCTCTCTATCTGTCATCGTCCACTATTTCTCTCTTTTTTGCTTTCCTCACTCCCCTCTTTGCACTGTTGGACACGCTCTCTGCCTCTCACTCACTCAGCCTATGTGTTGGGCTAGGCCTGTGACCCTTTGGGCTTGACCCTTTCGACGAAGGGGGTCCCCTTCTGACTGGACCAGTGGACAGTGACGGGATAAGACATCCACGGGATAGGACAAGACGAGGGGGGCCGCAGAGGAAGCCATGTCCACTTTGTTGGTGTACCCCTCGTCCTAGCCGCAGGCGACATGCAAGTTGCAACAGGGCACCGGGGGGAGGGGATCTGACTGTCTAGTCTGCTACGGCAAGGAGAGCGAGAAAAACAGAGGGAGAAGGGCGTCCTCGTGCCTATTACTTCCACGTATCTGAATATAGCTGCATACCCTGGGATAGAGAGCTCTGGGGGTCGAGGGAAGCGAGGAAGATGAGCCCCCCTCCCCCTCCCACCCCGGGCTAACAGAAGAAAAGGGTGGGCAGAACGAACGGCAGTCTCAGATCTTCAATGCTCCCATGTCCAGTGAGAAAAGGTAGAGAGACAGGGACGAGCAGAGAGAAAAAGCACCGAAGGGGAGATCAGAAAGATTACAAGATTAGGGAAGCACGGAAGAGACGAAAAAAGAACGCCCTATGGAAGCAGAGCGAGCTTCAGCTTTCCCGTTCGTTCGTCATTCTCCCACCCCATAAACCAGATGGACCAGGGGGGGAGGGAGGGGTGTGAGTGCCAGAGTGGGCGTTCCGCGTCTTGCAGGCATGGCATGGACTTTATGTGTGTGTGCGCAGTAGGTGCGTTTTTGCTCTCTTTTCTGTCTCCCTCCCTCGTCGTGTAACTTGCTGCGTTGTGACTTCATCGGGAGTGCTCAGCCCAGCAAGAAAAATAAGAGCCCAGTTCCATGTAAACCTCTAGGTATCTTAGGTGCTCCACCCGGACTCCCGCGTGGCGGCCGGCTTCGCCATTCTCGCCTTGCCGTGGCCTTGGAATTGCCGTGGTGTAATGATGATAAAGCAGCGGGCAGAAAAAAAGAGAGATCAACAAGATGACGGCCAGCTCTAATGGCAATTCTGAAAGGTCGCACGGCGCGCACAGAGGAGAGGAATGTCAGATTTTGAAATTGGCGGCTTGTGCTTTTTTTTCTTCTTCATCTTATCCCGTATAACGCCGACCAAATTATACCCTCCCTCACTTCGTCATTGCAGTGGTGCTAATGTCAGATTGCATGATAGCGTGCGTCCTGCCCGTCGCTCATCTTTTGGGTCTTGCATTGTCTCCGGCAGGTCCATCACCAACGAGAGATGTTTACTGAGGACTCGACAGGGGTACATGAGGCAAGAAAAAAAGATGAGCGAAACACACACACACACACACACACACACACACACACACACATCAGACAGCCGCAGCGGGTAAGGGGAAAGGAGATCCATGATCACGGCCGCAACAAAACACCATTTTAGGGGACCCCTCGTCACCAACAAATTGGTGGAGTTTCTTCTAGATGGACTTGGTGATGAAGAAAGAATAAGAAATCATGAAGAAAAAGGCTTTTTCGTGGAAGCAATGGAGATTAGGAAAAAGAGACGAAGGAAGTTACGAAACGCAAAGACATCTGCAACAGGCCAGATTCAGAAAGCTAGAAATCACACTACACTGCAGGTATCCGTAAAAACAGCCAGCTGGCCTGCCTAGCTCTAGCCTTCTTGCTCATCGAAAAGTGCATGTGAAATCCACCCAAAGTGCCTTACGCCGCTACGATGTTCGCCAGCTCGCGGCCCTCCAAGACCGGGGTCTCGTTCGTCTTTTTGGGGAAGATCTCTTATTAGGTGGTTTCGGGGATCCGCAAGCCCACACATCGCTCCTCTCTCCACCCCTTTGGGCAGTGGGAATCCAGAGAGGGGAGGAGGGGAGGATTGATGATGGATCAAGGTGTCTGTCTCATGGATTTCATGTTGCAGCTGCGGTGGGCTTTTCTCTATGGTTGATGTTGCGTCGTTCGCTCTTCTCGGAAGGCCTTGATTTCAATACTCACCGGAATCGTGGGATTCTGACCCCGAGAGACCCTCAGTCGTGCCGGATACGGTGGGACAATACCGGAAGAAAAGAAAAAGAATGCACATACCACAATATTAAAAGAGAAAGGGCAAAAAGCAAGAATACCACGAAATTCGTATATGCCGCTAAAAGGTCAAAAATCGATTACTCAGTGTCCGTACTCCGTAC